TCTGACTCGTCTGAACGATGACTCTTTGGATCTAGATCCGCTGACTCCAGCTCATTTCTTGATCCTCCAACCATCTTACTTAGTTCCCGAACCCGATGTCACGACTGATAAGATTTCGCCGCTTCGACGGTGGAAACTAATTTCTCAAGCAATACAATGCTTTTGGTATAGATGGTCGTCAGAGTACCTTTCTGCACTGCAGAGTCGTTCGAAGTGGTCATCTCCTCATCGAAACATTCAGGTCGGTGATTTGGTTCTCATAAAAAATGAGACGACTTCTCTGGGTAGATGGCCCTTAGGTAAAATTGTCGAAGTCTACAAGGACGCGGAATCCCTGGTCAGAGTAGCCAACATTCGGACTACTGTTTCGTTTCTTGTTAGGCCAATACACAAACTATTTATGTTACGCACTGTTTCCGAACTTGAATCCAATATGCAAAATGATGATGTATCTCGTCCAAAGTAAATTATTCACTACAAATCAATTATTTGTTTTCATAGTTGTAAGTTTTGTATAAAATTCTGATTAAGTACCATTCAACAGAAGGTTACGTACAATATTGTAAGTGAATATGCGATTCACTTGCGATTTAATAGTAGGATTATTAATCTCGTAAGTTTGATGAAAGGCATTTTGCCCATGATACTACAAACGATTTTCTTTTTAATGTTCAATTAAATTATTGTCCATCAACCCGAGGAAAAATGAAGTTTTCAATTTAGTTTTTTAATTTGGCTTTAATTTAGTCCTTACGTTTCTAACCTCTTTCATTATCTATAAGTTATACTGTAAATAGATAAGCGAATCCATATTTCAATTGCTAGTAAATATTGGTAATATCTTAGTGACTAGCGTTTAAACTCCATCGATCTGCCTTATAACTTTGTTACAGATCAACCCGAGGAGTTTGTTGGAAGTTGAAGCACTTCTTTTCGAATTAAGACTGATTACTTAAATCAAATTTAGCGCCTTGATCTTTCGTACCAATTAAGATCGCATGTGCACTTGCAGCGGTAGCCAATCAGCGCAATTCTATACCTAACTGTACTAGAAGCTAGCTGCTGCTGTTGTTGCAGCCAGTCGGCCTAGCAAGCCAGTTGAGACAAGTCGCATGGCGCTAGATTGTAGAGTTATTTTACGTGTGCCGGCATCAAACCAAATTGTAATAAGAGAGTGCTTCACTAGCAATATATTTACCTGTTAATTAAATTATGCAGTGTATCTTTTACTTCTCTTACAATCTCACCTTTTCCCAAAATCGGATTAAATTTAAAACATGCAGTCCACAACGTGCTCGACCCCCGTCAATCTCGAACACTATTAGATTGTTTGTCGTTGGCGACGGCAACGTTGTCAGTCGTAAACAACAACTATTAATTAAATTTTATTTAACTGACGTGCATACTTGTACGTATGATATTACAGAATCATCGAAATACAGAATAATTATAATTAAATTAATACTTTAATCATAATTGAATGGGAATTGCATATACATGAAAACACGAGTACTGCTGCGGTGATAAGGCAGTTAATAAAACAGTTTAGTGAACTTACTGTTATGAGCAAGAGCGCCTGTAGCTGATAGTATACCAAGGCTAAGTACCAAGGCTATTTACACTGACGCAACATACGATAGTCGCACCACAACGCAAATTTGCATGATAAACAGGTAAAATGATAATCTATCTTGAGAGCAAACTAAACAAACTAAAAAATGCAATTAAACACACGAAAAATGATGCACGCGCGCGTGTGCACGCATTTATTGAAAAGAGAGAGAAGGGCGGTACTTGCCAGCACCCTATATTTCATGAGTATATCATTCACGAGAACGTATCTAACCAAACTTGTGAAGACAATGCAACTCCCCACGTGGTAGTGGATACAATAATAAAAAACTTAAATGTTGTACTTACTTAGGTGATTTTCTGTCATCTAAAGTAGTAAAGTAAATTCTAGTTTTGTAAAAAATATAAGGTATGGTAAAAAATATACACCAATAAAGTATTAGTTAAGCATAATAATTAAATCAGAACTAGCGAGCTGCACTGTACACACACACACATACACACACACACTCACACACACACACATGTAAACAATGTACATGGAACATGCAGCTGCATAAGTATACAGTACGACGTAGTATTACGAATATGAAGTCGGTGAGAGATCAGAGAAGACCTTCGAGATGGTAAAACACTACCGCTTCCGAGCTTGTACGACCAACTCCAAATATTACAGCAGCAGTAGCAGCTATATATGTATATATATACACATCCCGCTATTGCGGTACTGAGCAGAGTGGGGGAAGCATGTTGGTCGTGTTAAATCTGTCACCTTTTGCCAGCTCACTCCCAGCCCCAGAACGCCCCGTAAGAAGCTTCGCTTCAAAAACTTTTCGATAGTTCATTTATTAAACATAGTAATGGAGACACGATGTGCTAATCCATTTTTGCTTTCCACGACAGAGGTGGCAGAGGGGCCAGGGGTACTGCTACTACTTTCCTCTCCTCTATATTAATGGCATCTTTTTTTGCATCATGTTCTCGGCCGTTTTTTGCGAGATTTTGTACTAATCAAAATTAAACTAAAAGTGCTTTTTTCTACATTGTTCCGTGTCCTTTCGATTGGTACAAGTAGATTTTCTGTACGCATCTCCCTTCTGGAGATACAGGCATTATTTTGACGGTTTGTACGCCTTATTTTGTATAAACTGCTGGCTTTAAAATTATGTTTTTAATTTTTTTCCCGTTATTGGTAGAGTCATAAGCATTACCTGTCAAGTTTGCACCTTGTTTGGCTGTAAAAGCTGAAACCTGCTATATCTATCCTGGACTTACGTTACGCAACGCCATACCGTACTCGCCATTAAAGTGGCACTTTGTCAAAGCTTTTTGAAATTCTCATAAGAGCAAGAGTGACAGGTGGCGCCGGTCCTTTTCTTGCACAACAACTCACAGCGAATAGAATAGAATTTCACTGAGATTGTTTCAGTTGGGTTCGAAGACGGTTACGGACATGACGGTTTCAAAAAGCATTTAAGTGAGGACGATAGAATGTGCGAGAAGTATAAAGAAATTTTCAAATTTTCTGGTAGTGTGAAGGTTCGTGAGACAGTTACGAAGTATAGATTTTTCGTTAGTGATATTTATAACGTGTTACAATTTTGTGCGCCTGTGAGTTGTTGTGCAATGGAACTCGATGGACATCAGGAAGTTCCTGGCGTTGGGAATCTGCCAATTGTACAAGTCTTGCCCATGGCAATTAAACTTGGAGGTAATAACCAAGAACCTGGGGAGCACATTCCAGTCATTAATTTTGTTGAAAACCACCAAATTGCTGCAGAGCCCGAAGGTGTCAATTGAGGACTCAAGCATATCGCCGATGACAATCTAAAGGGTGCCCGCGCTAATGCTCTATCCAGTGTAGAAAATCGTGTGGAAGAAAACCGCGAGGATGTAGCACGTGCTGATAAAGTCGATCTCATAGCGTTTCCCGGTATTATCGCTGAACACGTATGTGAGAACAACGCTGATGAAAATGTAGATGATAGAAACGTTCGTCGAATTTAACTTCCTCTGCACTTAAGAATTGATGGTAACCGTGTGTATCACATCAGCCAACGTGATCGTATTCGAGAAATCATGTTATTTTTTTTATAACTTTTTTGGTAGTTTTGTGGTATATTTCTTTGTCTCCATTGTTTTGTATAGGCGCGCAAAGGAAGGAGAAGGGGAGAGTTTGTGCATCGTAGATTTTGATGATATGCATAGTTCATAGGACATCGCCGCTTTGTTGCTTGTTTTTCATTTAGACGTCCATTTCGGTGCCTATTACAATTTCTGATTAAGAGAGTGTAATGTCTTTCTGAAATATCATGCGTACACAAAGACAAGCCCTTTGTTATTATTTGTGATGCATGGTCATCTCGACACCGTGTGAAGATTACTCGTTTTCATCAAATAAACAGAAGTGCCTATCTGCCATTCACGCGCATTTCACATTAATGTACAACTTTTGAAAATAAGTTAGACCAAAAAAATAATAATAATAAGCAACACTTACATTACCAGTGCTTTGTATAAAAAAAAATAATAATAATAAAACAATGTGTTATGATGTGATATACACAATTTCTTCTTGTACATTGCTTGAAAGATTGTAATTTTTATCATAATAAAGACTTGGCACTGGCACATGGGGTATTTTCCTGTATTACATTTTTTTGTACATTGCATGCGACCGCATTGCACGTATCAGATAATGTCGCTCCGTGCATTGGTTTTCGTAATATTTATTTAAATAATTTTTGTCATAGATACTCACGATGCTGGAATCATGATCCCTGTGGTGGTTCTGCCAGAATATTCATGAATGCAATCGACATTATTGTTCTAATATAACCATATTCGGACAACTGTTGTATGCCAGATGAAAATATTCAGCTAATAAAGAGATGTAAAACTGCTCTACGTGATGCTCTCCGCACGCATTAGTACAGGCTTCAAGAACCTTACGACACCCTAGCCCTGATGTAAGTGTACAATTTTTTAAATTTATTTTTCAATGATTTGCCTTTTTTTAAATTATTCATTAATTGTTTTATTTATTCAGAAATTTCTTACATCATAGTTGCCTCTAATAATAAATATTTTAAACAGTCAACGACAAGCTGGTTATAAATTTATAGAAATAACTAAAATTGTTTGTTCAGACTACTGGTAACATCGAATAATATGTAACGTAAGGCCTTTTTAAATACATTTACAGGCATCCAGAGGCATCAGGAATCGTTCCTTTCGTATCTATGAGGACAAGTATGATGCGATGGCGTTATGTACTATTTCCACCTGTGCCAAGATCTATTGTAGAGTTTTTTGATCGCCTGCAACATATTCAGGATGACGGTATATTAGATTACACAAGAGGACGACTTTTTCAATCTCAATTTCATGAGAGGTGACTTAACTGACGTTCGAATGTTACTAGGCGACTGCAGTATCAAAGTTACTCCCACTGCAGCTAATTTTTGTCAACTACTAACTATTATGGGTATAAAATATAACGACGTACGTGTATTTTTATTTCTTGAATAAAATTATTTAGAGTAGTAATAGTCGTACACAGGACAACAAATGTATTACGGGGCCATTAAATCTTTATCCTTTTTGGTTATACATTTTTTTTTCATTTATCTAATGATCCCACTCTAACAAACAAACATAGAATAGTAGTATACTGTCGTGTTACTTAAAAATTTTTTTTTTTTTAAAGCCCTGAATGTCTAAACATGTAATAATGTTACAATTAAACATTTATTATTTTTAGGTACTCATTTTTATAGAGTAAGTATGTAGTACAATTCTTTAAAAGTTTAATTTTATTGTTTTCAATGGTGGTATTTAGATGACACAAAATATTACAAAATTACTACATACGTCCGGTCTATTGCATTATATATGAAAATTTGAATATATACAAGACATTTTATTTTCAGACCGTCAATCAACAAATTAGAAGACTCGGACTTGAAAACGTCATCGCTGAAAATCAAGAGATCCTCAATGTGATTAAAAAATTTTTAGCTCTTCCTTTTCTATCGTGGCAAGACATAGGTGCTGTCTTGAGAGAAATCGTACCAAGTTTAACACCTGAAGTAACAGCAATACTTGCAGACTTCCTCAACTACTTTGAATTCCAGTGGTTGTGAAGTGTAAGATCAGAAGGCTTTTCAGTATTTGGCCTGGAAAAGAGGACAAATAATGTAATCAAGATTAATCCCTTTCGATTAAACAGCACCATAAAACGTCATCCCTCACTGGGAACTCGTTTATATTCATATATTTTTTTATATCTATTGAAATCGTACAAATACATTTCACAATTTTAATGCCGCACTGAAATTTAAAAATATATCTGCGTGTAACAGTCCGATTACTACGCATACAAGAAATTGCCGTTGCAGATATGGTACGATTAAGTCGGGGCTTACAAGTAAGCCGTAGTCCTACTAACTCCTCTCATTTCCGGAACGTTCAACTAAATAAGAGTTTGTTACACCTTCAATATAACGTGATTGATAAATGTCTGGTTTTAAAATATTAATGTTTTAAAAAATCAAAATAATATGTTTAGTATTTAGAGAATCCAAAAAGATCAAAATAATGTAATTAAGCATTTTTTTAATCAGTGGTATTTATAAATAACTTCTATGGTTTGTGTGTCTTTTTCATTTGTACAGTTTTGAGACTACGCAGCGCGACTTCTAACGTCCGATGAACTAATGCGAATTGTGATATACCTAAAAGGCGATATAAACACGCGGATACAAGCTACTGCACGCCTTGAAAATGAAATCAGACCCCGATATGATAAAGCTTTTGAATACTTTCCGAATAGTATGTCGAAAATATTAGAAAAATTATACTTTTTAAAGTATTTGTCATATAACTATGAATAAGGAGATTTGGAAAGGATTCGAGGCATACTTAACAACCAAAACCATCGGCAGAATGTGTCTATTGTTACGTACTATCATATCCATTAGTAACTAACATTTAATTTTAGGTCAACACATAAATATTAATATTATTGCCATATGACTTGCTTTAATGCCAAATTTAAAGGAAAGCTTTAACAGATTGCAAGCAGAGAACCGTGTACAACCTCTAAACGGAAGAAATAAATAAAATCAGTGACCAGCCATTGCATTGGTTGACCAGGCATGATTAGTACACAATACTGTGCCTGAAGCTCCACTGGTAGAGCAAAGGATCAGAGCTGAAGAACTGGATCATGATATCCTGCACGGTGCTCCTGTTTTAAATGTAAGTGTGCAACAAGAAGCTCTGGCTGGCAATACAGTTATGAATATGTGTCAATAAGAAATAGAGGAAGGAACCGTGGTAGAAGACAAAATGAGCCCAATGCTTCACCTCGTAGTTCGTACACTTACTCGTTGGCACAAATATTTCAAAAATAAATGCTGAAAAGTTTATTGTCGTAATTATATTTATACGCTGTAAGTGCCAAATAATCTTCATTTTAGATCCTCCCTGCTGCGTGTGCTGTCTTACCGATCCAGCATCTTATGCTTTTGTGCCATGTGGTCATCGCTGTTGTTGTGCAAACTGTTTGGCTCAAGTGTCTGCTAAAAATCCTGTCAGATGCTCCGTATGCCATGTCCCATCTAATTCTTACATTAGAGTTTCCAATTTGTAACTTTATAAAAACATAATTATTTACATTATTTTTATTACATTTGTATCATAAAGAAAGGTTCTGTATTCTGAAACAACGGAGTAAGTGAATTCTGATGGTGTAATTATATTAGAGTAATTTTATTAAATTTTCCTCTTGCTATACCATGATTATTACATCATCAATTTCAATAAACAAGAAACGACAGAATACTGTACAAAGGAGATCTGCAAACGATGTTTGAAGTTAGCACATTTCTGCTCATGATGGCAGTGTACATAACACTGTTTATTTGACTTCAAAAAACATTTTGTACTATTACTTTTTTCTTTAATTTTTCGTTACTTTTACATGTTATATGGGTATTACCCTTTAAAACATGAAATTGCCTTCCTACGGCCAGAAATACTATTTATACAAGCAAAAACAAATTTTTTTAACTCATCACTTAAAATTTAACAAATTTTGTTGGTAAAAAAGATTCACTACTTCCTAATCAAAATACAGTAAATGCCTTTGTGATAAGATTTTTTTTTAAAGATTTGAGTTGGGAGATGCGAAAGTGCACTTGATTAAATTTAAGTAGCACATACTAACTTTGTAGCTCGTTGCTGGTTTAACTGCTTATTTTTTAATACTTATGTTAGACGTAAAACTGTGAAAACTTATTCAAGTAGATGTTAAAACATGATTATACTGATAATAATTATCCTTAGCAAATTGTGTACTGGACAAAGTGAAGCTAAGCCACATTTTAATTTTTGTACTAGTAGCCGAGAGCCGTTCTGCATGTAATAATAACTATACAATATCTATATTTTTATATAAAAAATAAATTCCTAGAGCTTACTATACAGGATATGGAAATAAAGAAAGAACGTTTCAGTTATCTATATGTAGTTCTTTGAAATTATTAGTGTATACTGGTTTAAGAATTAAATTGCAAATAGTGCAGTTAAAGACCTGTATTTTATTAAACAAAGTTTCTTGTGTTTCATTGTGATAAGTATCATAATTAATATACCTTACAACTATTATTTTATTTCATTTAATTATTTGAATAGTATACATTAAAATACTATGATTAAGAAACCCTTCTGAGTTGTTTTATTATTTATAAACTGTAAAGACTTATGCAGCTAAATACCACAGTATTGGGTAAAAAGGTATCTCGCAGTAAAATTAATGGTTAGTGACATGAAAGTTACTGTCACTAATAAATCTATCTAGAGAAAATGAATAAAGTGACAGTCAGATAAATAAGAGAAGGGGGGAGGGCAAACTTGCGGGAAATTTGAATTGGCTGTATAAATCAAGATGCAAAGCCCAAAATAACTCGACAAAAGTTCATACACAATTACTGTATACATAAATCTTAAGCTCCTTAACCTAATAACCCAATGAGCCGATTAGCAGCCTCACGAGTTTAAATAATTAATAAAATTTATTAAATAATAACGCGAGATCTAATCATCAAACGACCAAAGGTGCTTACTAGTGGCTGTAATTAGGAATTTAATTTATTAATTAATAACGCAAGCGCTGATCACCACACAAGTCGAGGCGCTTACTGGCCCCTTTATTTATTGAAAAAATAAATATGATAACACAAGTGCTAATCACTGCACAGCCCGAAGCTTTTGCTGGTCACTGTAAAAATTAATAAAATGTATTAATTAATGACGAAAGTGCCAATCACCACACTACTCAAGGCGCTTACTAGCCGCTGTAATAATTTATAAAATGTATCAAACAATAACGCAAGCGCCAATCACAACACAACATAAAGCGCTTACTGGCCCCTTCATTTATTTATAAAAGAAATACACTAACGCATGTATCACTCACCACACAACCCAGGATGCTTACTGGCCCCTTTATTTATTACTAAAATAAAATTAATAACGCAAGATGCTGTTTTGCAAGTAGTAATTATCGCTTTCTAGCTACTTTATTGTATACTAAAATGAATATAACAACGCAAACGCCAATCATAACGCATTGCAAAGCGCTTACTTATCGCTGTAATAATTAACAAAATTTAATAATTAATAACGCAAGCGCCAATCACCACATGACCTGGGGTGCTTACTGGTCGCATTATTTATTGATAAAATAAATACAATAACGCAAGCGCCAATCATACACAACCCAAGTCGCTAACTAGTTGCTAAAAAAATTAATTAAATTTATAATTAAATAACGCAATCGCTAATTACCGCACAACCTAGAGCGCTTGCTTGTCACTGTAACGATTGATAAAATGTAATAATTAACATTACTAGCGCTGATTACCATACAACCCGAAACGCTAACTGGTTGCTTTGTTCATAATTTAAATGAATAGAATAACCCAAGCGCCAATCACTGCAAAACCCAAAGTGCTAACGAGCCCATTTATTCATTGATAGAATAAATATAATAACGCAGGTGCCAATCATCACATAGCCCAAAGCACTTACTATCAAATTTCTTTATTGACATAATAAATACAACAACGCAACCGCCAATTACCACACAACCTTAGGTGCTTACTAAACGATGTAGTTATGAGTAAAATTTTATTTTTAATAACGCAAACGTCAAGTGCCACACAACCCTAGGTGCTTACTTGTGGCTGTAATTACAAATAAAATTTACTAATTAATAACGCAAGCAAAAATTACCACACAACCCGATGCGCTTTCTAGGTATTTTATTTATTGATAAAATCAATACAACAACACAAACGTCGATCACCTAACAACTCAAAGTGCTTACTGGACGCTGTGATAGTTACTTAATTTTTTTTGTAAATAACGCAAGCGTTAATCATAACACAACCCAGAGCCCTCACTGGCTACTTTGTTCATTAATAAAATAAATACAACAACTCCAGTTGAAGCCAATTAAACCACAACTTAAGACGCTTACTGATGGCTGTAATAAATACTAAAATTTATTAATTAACAACGAAAGCGCCTATTGGTCACTTTACTTAATGACAAAACAAATAGATAAAACGCAAGCGCTAATTACTACACAACCTAGGAAACTAACTGTTTTTCATTAATTAATATAAAAATAATATTGCCAAACACCACGCTTTCTGGCTCCTTTATCCTGTGATAAAACAAATACAATAACAGAAGGGTCGATAACCACACAACCCAAGGTGTTCACTGGTCACTGTGATAGTTACGAAAATTGATTAAATAACAACACAAGCGTTAATCAATACAAAATCCGGAACGCTTACTGGCTAGTGTATTGATTTATAAAACAAATGTAACAACGAAAATGCCAATCACCACACAGAGCAAGGTGCTCACTGATCACTGTAATA